AAAAAAAAAAACAAACCTGTAACCATCGTTCAAACAGATATGTGCACACCTACGTTTATTGCTGCATTATTTACAGTACCAAAGAGATGCAAACAACCTAAGTACCATCAACAAACGAACGGATAGAAAAACTGTGGTATAGCCATATAATGAATACTACACAACACTGAAAAACAATGAGCTTGTAAAACATTATACAGCATGGGGGACCCTAGAGCACATTATGCTGAATGAAATAGCTCAGTCACAAAAAGACACCGCACACTACCACTGTTATAAATCAGGTCTGACATGGGAGATTGGGAGAATAGGTTCAGAATCCATTGCATTGAAACAGATGTGGGAGAGAACTGTCTAAAAGGAATATATGATTAGACATAGGTACAGTAACATCATTGCAAAGATGACTGGAGGAAGGCAGGGAGATAAGTAAGTGTGAAACAATGGATTATTTTTTTTTTTAAAGTTAACTCAGGGAGGGGCAAGAGAAGAGGAGGGTAAAATGTACAACAATGAATGGATGAAAATCTAGCCTCTCTGTAAACAGTTGTTAAAATCACAATTAAAATAACATTTTATTTTTAAATAAACCAAAATACTGTTACCTAAGGGGAAAACCTTGCCTATGCCAGGTATATAGACAAAATGAAAGTAGTTTACTCTCATCCAGAGATCTGGAGATTAGATTGGATTTGACTACATAAAAAGAAATATAAATTTCTGAGAATTGTTTAATATTTATCTCATAGTCTGGCCTCTAAATCCAGTTCATAAACCTGTAGTTTCCAACCTGTTTATACTGTATACCTTTTTCAATCCTTGAGCCTGTAATGAAATGAGTTCTTATGCTTTTATGAAGTTTAGCATCTGTGATGATTATTATAATTATTTCCTTGCAAGTACCTTTAACTCCTTTATCCCTTCATCTTTATATTGTGTTCACCTGACAAAATCTCAGCCCACATTAAATCTTATTAAATGATTAACTGCATCCAAAGAGTATGTCTAGAGAAAAATTCAACTGTATGGACTGATTATACTTGAAATTTATTACTACAGATCTCAGATAGACATTTATAGTATAATTTAGAAGAAAGGATGGTGAGAACTTTGTCTTACATACTTAGGACATGTTATCAGGAAAGGTTTTGCTTTGGGAAAGGATATCACACTTGGAAAAGTAGAAAGTCATTTAAGGAGAGGAAGACACGATGATGGGTTGGCATAGTGACTGTAACAATGGGCTTAAGTACAGTGGAAATTGTAAGGATGGCACAGGATTGGACAAGGCTGATCTGTTGCACATAGGTTTACTGTGAGTCCAACTGACTCTACAACACCTACAACAAAGTGGTCTTTACTACTCTCCAGTAGGTTAATTCTTTCTGCTAAACAAATAATTTTGTTATCTTTTCAAATCTCCTATACCCTATTGTCCCTCAAGAGTTGATTTTATTTAGAAAGTAGAAGCAGTCCACTGGGTTTCTTATCACTTATTGACTTATTCCTTATCGACTTATTTTCTTATCACTAAATTTGTCATCTTAATTGAAGTTAAAAATTCATTATTCCTGAAGGCTGCATAGTGGAGTGGACCTGGGGGGGAGGGATTATAAAACATTGGGGGAACTTTTACTTCTCAAAGAGAAGAGTGTACTGGGGGCAGAGGGGTGGGCAGGGAGAAAAGTGCAACAATGAATGGAAATCCAAAGTCTGTAAATTTTCATTAAAATGAATTAAAAATATTATTTAAAACATCACCATTTTTGTTGTTGTTACGTGCTATCGAGTCACTTGCAATTCATAGCGATCCTATGTACAACAGCCCTAAACAATGCTCTGTCCTGTGCCAATCGCACTGTCTCCGACACACCCATCCCGATTACCCCAGTCACTGAATCAATCCACCTCATAGAGGGCCTTGCCCTCCTGTGCTTTCCCTCCACCCTCCCAAGCATGATATCCCTATCCAAGGACTGGTCCCTCCTTACAGCATGTCCAAAGTATGTCAGACGAAGCCTCAGAATCCTTGCCTCCAAGGAGCAACCTGATTTAACCCTCTCCAGGATGAATTTGTTCTCCTCGCAGTCCATGGTACATTCAATGCTCTTCTCCAGCACCACAGCTCAAAGGCATCAATTCTCCTTCTGTCCTCCCTACTCATTGTCCAACTCTCTGATGCATAACCAGTGATTGTGAAGACCATGTCCTGTATCAGACGCATCCTTAGTCTCCAGAGAGATACCATTGCTCTTCAGTACTTTGGAGAGGTCCCTAACAGCAGACTTTCTCATCACAGTATGTCTTAATTTCCTGGCCACTGGTGCTAAGAGTGTTGACTGTGGAGCCAAGCAAACTAATGCTGTAAACAATCTCAATCTCTTCACCATCCATCTTGATGCTGCTGTTTTTATATTGCTAAGACAAACATTCATTATTCCCAATTGATTTTTAGAGCTTGTCACATCTCACCTCCAGATTTGACACTTAGCCTTTTCTTCCCCTTTCAACACTTGAATTTTCCTCTACAAGACCGTTATTACTCTCATACAAGTATAATCAGTCCTTCCCCCCACCCCTTTCCAGTTATTACTCCATTTCTCTACTTCCCTTCACAGACGTGTTTTTTCCTTCACTGCCTCCTATTTTCCCCCTAGCGTTCCGTCCTGATTACCAAAATTTTCATTTTGCCAAATCTGTAACTGCTGTTTCTGTTCTGATCTGCTTTACCTCATTGCAACGTTTTACATAGTTCATGCCACTTTATGAATTATTTCCTATGGTTTCTTCCTTGACATGTATTCTTTGTCAGTTTTATGTGCTATTTTTCTTAGCTAAGACTTCTTCCCAAAACCAACAGTGACAAATGACAACAAGTGATGTTTCATTATCTTCCCTTTTTAGCTCTATTTCTTCATAACTGACTTTTTATTTTCAATACCTAGCACATTGCTAATCTGATTTTATCAATAAACAAACATAAAATTATTGGTATTTCATAATAATCCTACATAGATATTATATCTGAGGGAAGAGATGATATTCAACTTTATAGCTTTAGTTTCCAAGATACAGTAAAAAAAACCAAGTTCAGAAACTACATCATTTGCTCAAGGTCAACTAATAAGTAGTAAATAATTCACTTTTTCGTTACTGTATCATGCAAAGGTAAGAAAAAGAGATAAGCAGCACAACTTAATAAAAACCATCACTATCCTCCTAGTTGAGGGGGAAAAAATTCTGAAATCCTCTTTCCTTACTATTATTCAGCATCTAATGAAATAAACCTATCTGCTCTGCCATCAAAATGTGTTCCAAAACTTTTATTAACATTTCCACTGTTACTTTAGTCCAAGCTGAGCTACTTCAGCTAGACTTTCAGCTCTTTACTATTCCCGTGCACATTTTCCTTTTATCAAGTGAAATCTTTTTTTTTAAAGTAAGATCATGTTTTTTACTGTCTTAGAGTTTATTGCAAACTCTTTACCATAAACTTCAAACCTCCAAATAACTTGGTCCCTACCTGCTTGTCCAAGCTTATCTTTTGCTTATGATTCCCAGGTATTCTGCAGCTTTACTACCTTTTGAGTTGTTGAATGCAATATTCCTGTTCCTCCATTAAAACCTGTCATATTAAGGATTTATTGTTCCAAATGGCTTCCCTGGCCATTGCCTGTCTGCCTTGTGAATGAGTAGAAATACACAAATAGGGTGTACTTATCCATCCACAAGGGAATTGGCCAGGCTTGCCATTAAATTGAGCAGATTCAGCTGCATAATTTGAGAATCTGACCAGCAGTAAGGCAGCAAGAGAATGCAGTGCATCTTTTGGGACCAGAGATTCTTGTGCCGGGCAGACTAGGGTCTGTGGGAACATTAGCTATAGCAGCCACAGCAAAGGACCTTGGAAAAAGGACCCCATGGAACCAGAACTAGGAGGCATTGCCCCCATTTGTTGGACAGTTGGAGGAGGGGAGTCATAATTGACAGATTGAGATCTTTGTAACACTGGTCTAAAGCTGTGATGCTCAAAACTGTGGTGCTTCCTGACACTTTGGTCCTGAGTAAGAAATTGTATCCTGCACCTAACCTGAATTATAGCCTTTTGACTTCTCCAGTATGGTTCTGTGTGATCGATGTGCAATCACAACAGATTTTGCAGCCAATAGAGTAGTAAGATTGGTGTTGGGATGAGTATAAAGAAGTATAGGAGCATGGGGGACGTGTGACCTCATGGGAATTGGTTTTGTGTTGATGATGATGGGGACAGTTGCCCACTTTGGTATGACCATCCGAACACAGCCCTTTGTGTACACAACAGTATCTTTGTGTAGTCTCTAGGCCTACAATCTTTCCCCAGAGTTTTGTGTAACTGACCCCTTTTTATTAAGGTCATAGATTAGGCAACACTTTATCAAGAGTGATCTTCACTGATTTCCAGGTCTTAAATAGCTGCTGACCTCTGTTCTCCTATACACTCACTCATTCTCACATCGATTTAATTTTCTTTTTAACATGGATTTTCTTATTAGTTGTGTATTATAGAATAGAATGTTTGCTAAACAGAATGTTAGCATCATGAGAACAAAGACTTTGTATTTATTCTCTACTGACAACGCCCTGGTCCTCAAGAGTTCTGTCGGGCATATGTTGTTGTTGTTAAGTGCTGTCGAGTTGTAGGGGACTCATAACTATGAAGGAGAGTCCTTGATGCTTGGGTGCCTTTCATCTATACCTTGAGGTGAAATCTTTGTTCCACCTATGTAATTATTAACATTTATGTTGAGTTTTTTTATAGAATAAGTTGCTAAAGGAGTAATGTCTCAGCCAAATGATTATTTCTAGCGGAGCTACTAACTAATGAAAAGAAGAGAGCAGAAATGCAGAAACAGATTGAAGAGATGGAGAAAAAGCTAAAGGAAATTCAGACTAAGCAAGAAAGAGTGGATGATGAGGTAATTATTCTGTTTTCAGTTAATAAAACTAAATACTTAAAACATACTTAAACATAGAAGTATAAAAGTCCTGCAAGCCTATAATTTAGCATTTCTACCAGTTTAACTATTAAGAGCAGTAAAGTTGAATAAGAATGAAATTTGTGGCATGTGACATGATGCAATTTATAGACTTCATAATTATATTCAAAGCCATGATACTCTTTATGATTTTAACTTCTTATTTTAATAATTACCACTATGATGTTCTTTGCTGTTGAGTTGGAACCAACCCATAGCTGATCTTCTAGTGTGTGTTCAGAGGCCGTAAATCACGCAGGAAGAGAGTGGTGGAGCAGTTGGTGAATTTGAACCATGTGCCTTTAGGATTGCAATGCATCTTCTTACTAAAGAAAGCTAAGAGAAACTACTTAAAAGAAAATTACTTCCAAAATATCTCTAAATGTTTATTAAAATAAAATTAAAAAGAAAATTACTTACAAATAAGACAGCTGAACTTGGAATTACTTTTAAAGAAGTCACTTTTACCACATAGTGGTAAGAAGCTGCGCTGCAATCTCAAAGCCACATGGTTTGAAATCCACCAACTGCTCCATAGCAAGGATGGACATCCTCTCATGTGATGTACTGCTTCAGCATGACAGCACACACAATTTATACTAGAAAAAATTAGAAATTTTGTGATACAGAGTATATGGTTAGTGGGTAATTAAGGTAAAAATATGATAAAGCTAATGTTGGAGCTAGAGTTTGAAAGTAGGAAGCATTTTCTAAATGAGGAACATAAACTGATTTTGTAGGGGAGCTCTGGTGGCCTAGTGGCAAGAAGCTGCACTGCAATCCCAGAGGAACACGGTTCGAATCCACCAGATGCTCTGC